AAAAGAAGAAACAAAAACTTCAGGACATAGTAGTTATCTTTAATTAGCATCACCAATTTCGTAGACATCACCTAATTAACTAGCACCAGAAAATAAATGTACTGATGAGGATAACCAATGGATGCAGAGAGTGTGAAGTAGATTTTAACAGTCTGGGTCTGTGGTTGTGCCAGGCTCCTGTGAAAAGAAACGCGAGTCAGAGGAGCAATGCTGGACTGGCCTCCTACAGACTGTGAATGCAGAATAGGAGAAGGGGCTAGAAACGACATACTAATATATCTACATCTAATTGTGACCTCTTTTGCATGTAAAAAGTGCTAACTTACCCCTTGTAAGTTTTTTTAGGATAAGTACATATCAATGCTTATATTAATCATCTTCACATTGCCCAACTATCTAGTAAGTGTACAAAGCATTAGTTTTATTCATTGGCCCAATAAATATGAATGTCTACAAAAAGATACAGCTCATTTTCAGTAGTGTTTGATGTGGGGCTGAATAGATTTTGTGCCTGACAAAAATAAATTTAGTAGCCTGGGTTAAGCAAACCATAAAGCTAATGCAGGCCATAATAAAGGGTCACCTACCTTCCCAGCAACATATACTCACCTTTCCTTGCTCACACATGGTTCTGTTCAGCCACCAGGATTGGGAAAAGAAAGCTCTGCGTAAGCTTCAAACTGACCTGTCATAGTTTACACTTGGCTATGGACTCCATCCCTGGCTCCTTGGGAAATCCCTAGGCCAAGGAACCAACGCTATTATGGGTGGGGGTTGTGGGTCATATGGTCACTTGTACCTGGTGGCCAGAGTGTGAAAAGTGTGACCATGCTGCTGGTAAGGTAAGTGCCCCCTTTATGGACAAAGAAATGCAGACACCTTAGCCAACCCTCAGATGACATTAGAGAGGATTAATTTAATCAGTTTATTAATTTAATAACTAAAACAGAAGCTGTGAAGACCACTGGTAACTAGATTAACTGCGGCTGTTATGTTGTACCGGAGGCTGCCATTGCCTGACTGCTGGTTCCATAGCAAACACTGCGTGTTATGCTACAGAGCTGTGCTTTGCCCCACAGCTATCAACACTTCTGGGGTAAGGGCTTCCTCACACCATGTCCATTGTGCCGTTTTTCTGCACACCACTGCACATGTATGGTGTAAACAGGGTACATAGATAACAGTTATTTGCTATGTGCCCTGTTCACACCATACATATCGTATGTGGTGTAAACAAGCCCTTAGTGCACAGCAATACATAGGAACCTCTGCTTTGACACCTAACAACCATGTTGCATTTAAGGAAGTGAGAATTCCATCACAGCAAATCTACATTTTCCTTGTTAAGGCACATGAACATTGAATGTTGCATTCGTGCAGCTTTAAAAACTGTGATTAACCATGATAGAATAAAATCAGTTGTTTTCAGCGATGTTGTCTTCACTGCCTTCTTACCATGTGTTTAACATCTTGAGCTGTAGCTGCACTCTTTTAGAAGCTCCCTGCTGAATTTGTTTGCTCTGGAAAGTATTTCCATAAATGAATGTCAACACAATGCATATAAATGTTTAAAACAGATCCTAAACGCATAGCTTAGGTCTGCTGTAAACATTCAGAAAAACTTTAGAGATGTTGGGTAGGAGTATTGGAATAAGTCTAATACATGTCCCTTGTAGCAAAAGAACCCCCACAGTGTTCTGGTTTCAACTCCTGGCCTGCAGCAGCTTTGCATTGTGGGTACCAGCAGCTTAGCTGCTACAGCATTCGGACATGTGTATTGGAAACAGAGCTCCATAGCATCTCTTTATTACTACTCTCAGATATATTTTTATTCATTCAAATACACCTAATGCTTCTCTTATTGTTAATTTGTACCCAAAACCATGTGTATCTACTACCTTTTGGGACCACAAATTAATACTTGTTGCTATTGCTATGTGTACAAGCCACTTTGTCACTTGACAGAAAATTATAAAAAAAACGGCCTGCATGCAAACAGGGACTTTTAAAGGAGAACTATGAGGTTGAGTGATTTTCACTCAACCTCATAGTTCTAGACGACCTGTGACCATGAAACTGTCACACGTCGGCTCAATAGATCGGGAAGTGAGTGAACACATACCGTCGCTCGCTCACATCTCGATCCTGTCCCGGCAGAGAGCCGTGAGTGTCACTCACGGCTCCCTGCAGGGATCCCCCCCCCTCCAGCACTGACTTGCGGAACGGACGGGGGAGGGGGAGGGTACAGCTGGCTCTATCTAGAGGCAGAGCCAGCTGTCAATCACGCAGTTGGGTGGATCTTGACAGTAATGTCGGAAAACTGTCCTGGCTGCGGCATTCTCAGTATACCGCGAGCTGTAGCTATACTGGGCTTTTGGTCACGGGAGGATGCTAGTTTGTGTCCTCCCATGACCCTTAGGAGAACTATGGGGAAAACCACTTACCCCATAGTTCTCCTTTAATACTTACTCGGACAGCAAGTCCTCACTTTACCCTTTCAAAAGATATGGCTTCTGGCAGGACCTTAACATGACTTTTCCCCCAATATGTGTTATGGATCTATCTGTGTGCTATAGGACTTAAAACCACAGCATTCAGCAGGGAACGCAAACATCTAACACACCCAGAAGTGTTGAATGCTGAAGGTTCTGCCATAGCTCTAAATGAAGACTAAAGGTAGGACTCGTCTACCACTGGAGAGGTAAGTATTAAGAGGCTGCATTAGCAGGCTATGCAGAAATGTCCTATAGGGCTTGGAACCACAGCATTTAGCAGGGAATACCGACATCTGACACACCCAGACCTGTTGGACACTGAAGGTTCTGCTGGAGGCCATAGCTCATAGAAAACTAAGTTAGGACTTGTCTACCACTGGAGAGGTATGTATTAAGAGGCTGCATTAGCAGGCTATGCAGAAATGTCCTATAGGGCTTGGAACCACAGCATTTAGCAGGGAATACCGACATCTGACACACCCAGACCTGTTGGACACTGAAGGTTCTGCTGGAGGCCATAGCTCATAGAAAACTAAGTTAGGACTTGTCTACCACTGGAGAGGTATGTATTAAGAGGCTGCATTAGCAGGCTATGCAGAAATGTCCTATAGGGCTTGGAACCACAGCACATAGCAGGGGATACAGGCATCTGACACACCCAGACGCGTTGGACACTGAAGGTTCTACTGTCCCAAATTCAGAACCAAATCCCCCTGTGATCCAGCCTTTATTTTATTTATTATTTGGATAAGCCAGTATAAAAAAACAGCAGTAGTAAAAAAAAAATTAAAAAAAAAGTACTTGTGGATTAAACCAAACAATTGTGTATGGTATATTGGACACGTAGCTGAAGGCAAAGCAGGGGTGTGGTAGATAGGTTGGAGCCAGGTGCACACACACCAACCAATTAGTTGACACTGACTGCATACACATGGATAAATAAAAACCCATACATTCAAAGAAACACTTACCCCTCTGGTGCCATCGCTGGTCTCCAGTCCTCTGGGAAATCCTGGTGGAGGCAGCGGCATCCAACAACGCTGAGGGAGCCTGTTTGTCCTCCTCCTCCTGCCAACTGCTTTTTCTCCCACTGCCAGGACAAGGCTGGTGCCCAGAGAGAAGCTGTGAAACATTGGTGTCACTGAACGCAAAAATAAACCCCCAGCATTGGTGCTAGTGGACACAATAACCCCCGACATTGGTGCCAGTGGATGCAATTATAACCCCCAACATTGGTGCCAGTGGACACAATAATTGTTGGTTATGTGATTAGATGAAGCACTGGAATCTCGAGGAATGCTGAATTAAGTTTTACTTTCTTAGAAAAATATTACATGTGAGTAGTGCAGGAAATATATATAGGAAAACCTCCTGTGTATCATAGATAAGTATGTATATAGAGACTATAGAGACTAACATTGCACTACAGCACCATCTACAGCACAAAAGACATAACAGTATATGCTGTTGCGTTTCCAACAATAGTAACCCCCAGCATTGGTGTCACTGGACCCAATAATACCCCCAGGATTGGTGCCAGTGGAAGCAAAAATAACCCCTAGCATTGGTGCCAGTGTACGCATTAATACCCCCAACATTGATGGTCAGTGGATGCAAATATAACCTCCAGCATTAGTGGTCAGTGTATTTATTAATTAACCCCTTCCTCCACCTTGCATTCATGGGTGGTCAGCAGAAATTTACAATACAACTGACCACCCACCAGTGCAAGGGGGAAGAAGTTAATTAATATTGCAAGTTGCCACCCACCAGTGCAAGGGGGAAGGGGTTAAACTCTCTACCCTTGCATGTCTAGGTGGTCAGTGGTATTGTTAACCTCTTTCTTCCCCCCTTGCATTGGTGCTAGTGGCAGTACAGGGAGAAGGAAGGCACAGCTCTGTGATGTCACGACTGGGACTCTAATTCATCTGTCGGGCAGAGATCGCTTTGCCTCTGCCTCTGCAGAGAAATTAGTTTGCCTGGCCCTGGCTGCTGGCGTCTTAGTGGCACCCTGCTGCCACTCTGCAAGGTCCTCCCCTCTGCCCTCCTCCCTTGTCCTGGATCTGCTTTTTTATGCCTCAGCCTCCTCCCAAAGCACAGCATGTGTGATGGACGCATGCTGTGCTTTGTTTCTGTTTACTTCTCCGGAATTAATAAAATTCTGGAGATGTAAGCATTTTTAGTAATGACCTGGCAACCAGACCCAAAACTCTAACAAGTTATCAGGTAAGCTCATACCCAGAAGTACAGACTATTTCCCTTTTCTTCCAGGTGCAAACAGAGTGACAGTAGAGCAGAAGAAAAGCATGGGCTTGTTACTCCTTGAACTGATATACTGCATACATGATTTCTTCAATGCAAGGCAACTACCCACATTATTTTGGAAATATGTTGGTGACCCAGTATTTTAGTGTAATCAGTCCAGTTTGGCTTATCCAACCTCACAGAAAAAGTCTGGTATTCTGCACTACCACTTAATCTACATTTTCTCGTCTGCTTTGGCAGGAGTTGGAGGATCGAAACCAGGAGCTGGAGAAGGAGCTGCAGAAAGCCGAGCAGAACCTGAAAGAAACACATTTGGAAAGGGACAGGATACGAGAAGAGATCAGCCGAGCAGGAGATGAGCTGGATGTAAAGATCTGTCAGCTCAATGAAATGCGTTTGGGACTCTCCCAACTCCTAGACAGCAATTGAGTGTTTGGAAAGGGTTGGTGCTGAGAACTGTTGAGAATGATTGTATGCCCAATGTAATTTAGGGCAACACTAGCCTTGTTCCTGGGAGGTAAACAGAAGAAACAGGTGAGCCTGGAGTCCAACTATAGCCGCTTCATTCTATTTACTGGCTATTTGCCTGTAAATCATGTTAGTGTTCTAGCCCAGGCAGCTGTAGAGGTAGGAATAACAGATCACCTGCTCAGCCAGGACGAGCATACCTTAGTTGCTCTTATTTGTAATAATTACACTGCGTACCTAATAGAAAATAGATTTTTTTCCATCTGCAATTTTTATCAATCCCAAACCAGGAACAAAAGCCATGAAACAAAACCAAAATAAAAACTGCAAAAGATGCGGGATATGTCTATGTAAACAATTCAATTCCCTTCTATAAGCTATTGGATATTCCATGTAACCCATCTGTATTTCTACTCCATAGACCAGCTTTCCGAGGACAGATGCAGAAAACCATCCCTGTGAAATCTGGGACCAGCTATCTAAATGCCTTAATTAAACTTGTGATTGGACTGTTAGCATCTTCTCAGAAGAGACATTCACTTGTTATCCTAAACATTTTATTTTTAAAAGGTACTTCTCATTAGATATGAAGTATGGTACTGCCGCTTATTGAGACTAGTGTGCAATAACTGTCATTGCTAAAGCTAATCCTTCTTAGAAGTATGAAAAGCTATTAATATAGCAAATTAAGAACTGTGAAAAAAAAGGTAATAGGTTAATAGAAGGAAGATACATTCCCTGTTTAACTGAATACATGTCAAAGATCTTCAGGGTTGGTGGACATGAATGGCCAGTAAAATACACATCCTTTCATTGATGGCCCATTTCAGTGTATTGTGGTAATTACATGGAAAAGGGAATAAATTAGGGGGCCTTCATTTAGGCAAGCTTTTACATTATATTTTCTAAAAGCAGACAGCCTACAGTTTGTTCTCTAAGTACTGTAAGCTCACTGCTTGTCATTCACATGCTGTTTTTAGTGACTGCAGCCAAAAACTCTTTGCAGTCCTAAGTGCCAGAAATAAGTACATACATTATATCTAAATTACTGCTTCTCAATCTTTTTGTATGTCAGGAACAGACTGGCAACTTTCTTAAAGTAGTGACAACTCCCTACGTTTACACAGATCGTTTTTGAACTTCCATTCATTCTGCTGCAGTGGTCCCTGTGCAGATGTCCAACGAGCACTCAACTGAATTAGACCTATGGCTTTACAATCAGCACAGCTCATGCTTCCTGCTGATTAAATAAAATCAAGCTCTGACTCAGCAGGTGGTGTGTTGGACCTGTGCAGAGAGGCCGCTACTTCCACACAGAGAGATGGTCCCATTCTGCAGCATGCTGGCAGGACAGAGGCTTTTCTGCTCAGGCTGTGGGTTGTTTTTTAAAGACAACAAACTCTAATGCTTTGAACACCTTTTGTTTTGATGCATTTAGCTGATTTAAACCAAAACTTCAATTGTGCTTTAATGTATAATATACTTGGAACAAATAAGAAAATAACTGTGAAAATCATCACCTTAATAGTCATTTATCTACAGAAGAGTGCCTGTAAAAGAATCCATTTTCTAAACAACTCTGTTTCCCACTATTCCTCTCCTTACTTAATATTTATACATCACCCACATTTTCACTTATATGAGGGTGGTTTTGGGCTAACTCCAGCTCCACTGCTGGCATTACTTCTAACAGTAGCGTGGTACTGATACAGACTGCTTGCCTTTGAAAAAACACATAGATTGTAGTCTGCTCTGCATGTAATTGCGGGTGGGGGTGGAATGATTCCTGCATATTAAATTAGAGAGGAGAGGGTAGGTGGGTAAAGAGATTTGCATCTACAAAAAATATTGAGGCCCCTGCTGCTTGCTATGGTTCTGTTGGGAAGCCAAGAAACCGGACAGAAACTTAAATGCAGATTAAAATTAAAAGGCTATTAAAATGAGAAAAAACAACAAAAATGGCAAAAAACAATGGAGGAAGTCCATGACGTAGTCGATGCAATGCAAGAGGTCAGATGTCAAAGGGTGTAGTCAGCTTAACCGGGTCAGGGAACTCAAGAGCAGAATGAACGGAAACAATAGCAGGAGTCAGGAACCAGAAGATCAGTGAGCCAGAGCCATGGTCATACACAGAGAACAGGAACAAAAGGAGAGCACTTGGTAGATCTGAACACATGCAAGAGTGGCGACTGAATGGACAAGCTAAAAGGTTAAATAGTGAACTGGTGTTTGCATCATCACTCTGTACAGAAATGTGTCAGTAGTTGCAGAATGATGATGTCTACGGGTCTGGTCATAGGAGGGCACCAAAGAGGAACGAAACAGTGTCAAACATACTGCAAACAAGGCATGCTGCAGCCACCTGGGGGAGGAAGGGTAAGAAACCCTGACAGGTTTTGCTAAATGTCTGCTACATCACAAGAGACAACAGTGGTGTTAACGGCCAGCATGAGAAACCCCAGCATGCAGCACAGAACATGCTATTAGATATACCCAGGATTGTTAGATATCAGTGATATACAAAAGAACAAAGATTCACTCACTACCTGCTGGACAGGTATGCATTAGCAATCTTTTGCAGGCTGACAATCTCAGTTTGATTTTCCTAGTGACAGAGTTGCTTTAAGAAAGAGAATTCAGCTATCACTAGCACTTTGCCGCCTTCCCCTTTCTGTAGAAGCTTGGCTTAGACATATTTGCAGCATTGTGACCATCTCTGCAGTCTATTGTGTCTGAGGGCAGTAAGATCGTACTAGACTTTACATTGCTTTAGCTTTCCATGTGGTACTAAAGCTAGTATTGCACTGGTCTTTAATGGTTTTTTTATTGTGCCCCTCCTCATGCACAACAAACCAAATATGTAGGAAAATATCCCCATGGATACAACTGTCACCAAATCCAAGTAACATCTTTGACATTGACAATGTTCACAGTTCTGAGAGGGGATTTTGCCCATATCCCCGACACCCATGCTTCTGCTGGACCCCCTTGTTCTCCTGAATCTTGGAGCTGCAACAACTTCACACAAAAGTGCCAAACATCTGTGAATATATTTTAGGAAGTCTTTATATTGTGCAAGGCACCACGAGCGTGCTGTATTATAGCTTGCATGCACTATAAATCCATTTGCACACTTTAACATTCCACCCTAGAAATATTAATGCCAAGTACTGTTACATGGTACGATATGAAAAATCAAAAAAGTGGATCGCTCTGAAAAGATTGGGGAAAGTACCAGTGTATGATAAAAGGACAATAATCTTTTTTACACACTGCTAAGCGTAAACATTGACCACAGCATTAGTTTACAGCGTTTTTAACAAAATCAGAAAAGCTGGAACAAGGGGAAAAAAGAGGCTGTAGTGAAACTGTGGACAAAATAATTTCATAGGCTCTAAGAAGGATTTGTACTGAAGCTACAGGCATTGGATTATTGCACTACCAATATATAAGCTGCATATAGGCATATCAAACATCTCCAGAATATTTTATTCCCTCATGATTCTAAAATACACTATGTGACCAAAAGCATGTAGACACTCCTCCAAACCATTAAGTTCAGGTGCACAAAGCCAGGTCCATAAAGACATGGTTTGGTGAGGAGGAACTCGAGTGCCCTGCACAGAGCCCTGATCTCAAGCTCATTGAACATCTTTTGGATGACGTGGAATGCATATTACAGGCCAGATCTTTTCATCCAACATCAGTTCCTAAACTCACAAACAAACACTCATCCAGACACACTTCAACATCTTCTGTAATGCCTTACGAAAAGAGTGGAAGCAGTTGTAGCCAGGTTTTGGAATTGGATGTCCAACAAGCTCATATAGGTGTGATCATGTGTCCACAAAATTTTGGCCATATAGAGTACATCCATCAAAATAAGTATATCCAGACATAAAGATGAAACTTTAAATACTTGAATCATTGTTACTTTTAATTCCAGTAGGCTTTTTTTTTAGGAAAACGTTCCAACTATTGATGGATTTCTTAACCCTTGCAGCATACACACATTATGAGAAAAAGGAGAGGCCAAGAACAGTAAACATACTTGAGTACAGGGCTGCAAGGTCTTCTAGAGCCACATAAAGGTCACCATATTGTGGCAGACACAACACTTTGGCTGCAGTCAATTAAGGAAATACTGATACAGTGAGAATCATGGTCCTTGAGCATTGCAATTCTACTGGCCTTGTGGATTCTATTGCAATCTCAAAAAAGCTTGTGCATACGGAGATATCATGAAGTTTAATTTGATGCTAACCCTATACAGAAGGAAATATAGGCTATACAAGTAGTTGCTTGAATAACAATCATTCTAGGGTAGATGGTATACATTGACACACCTGAAGATATAAAAGGAGTACATAAGAGTGAGAAATGGCAATGTTCAAGCTCAGTTCCATTTCATAGTCCAAGTTCACATATAGTTTTGCATTCCTTTGAAATCACTGAAAAATCTGTGTATTAATGCAAGGCCCCTTATTTCAGGCCTTCAGATCTCAGGAATGCCATGTAAAAATGATTACTGGGAAACAATAGACACTGCAAAATCTGTTAGCTGGTTCAGTATAATATTACAGGGTTTTGCATTCACTTACAGTTCAGGAACAAAAATACCAGTCGACATTGAGCCATTTCTTATTTTCTTTTTTTATAAAAGCACAACCCTTGTTTGCTACTTCCCTTATTTATACCCAAGGTATCAGTAGAACACAATGAAATTTCGTACATTTGGAACCGTTTAGACATTTTGAAGCTTTTCTCAGACTTAATAAAGCTTTGCAGCTTTCAACAACAGGTGTGTGTAACTTTTCTTTCTTGACAAAAAAACAAAACAAAATAAACTAAATACAAATGTGTAGAGAACAAAGTCTGCCTGGAAACACTACTGAAAGTGTTGACCTCCTGGATCTTCTGCAGCTCTCTCACACTCTCTTCCTTCTGACCACCACATCACTATCAGTTTCTGTAATGAAGTGGAGTTCAGTAGGAGGAACCAGTGAAAACGGTTGATGTGCAGTAGGTCAAACATTTTTAGGAAACTGGTTGTACCCTGAATTTAAGCCACATTAAAATTATAGAATTGAAATGGCAGAAGTAGTACGTTATAAGGTGGATCTAACCTTTTTAGACCATGTACATAAGTACTACAAACTGACCAAGCACCAAAGAAGGAGACTTCCAACTTTGATGCATAGAAGCTGGTTTGTTCTTAGGAAAGTTCAAAGAACCAAATGGAGCCAAGGGTCATGGCTTCTTGGCACAGGTAAACCAAGCCCTGTCATCTGCAAGCTTTCCACACAACCTGGTTGTATTATCTTCAATCAAGACTACAAGATATGTAGCCCTTTGGACAGGTAAAGTTGTAAAAGCAACAATCCATCCATTTCTTTAAAGCTAAAAGAATAATTTTCTTGGATTAAAATGGAAACACACACAAATTAATGTATTATATATACAAAATATATTCTGGAAGCACCAGACTGACAAAAGGTGGAAGATATCTGCACTTGTTAACATGCTGGATGGGTTGTTTCACAGAAAACATTTCTTCTGACTACTCCAAAAATACCCTCTCCCTGTCTGTTTAGTGGTGCTGGATGATCATCTTCCCTGATCTATTTACAGCTCTGCACTGACTTTTAGAATTGGGTAAATGGACAGGTCACTTCCTCACCATTGCTCTATGAATAGTTACCAACAACTGTTCAGTCTCATCTTGCTAAATGTAAATTTACTTAAATATTTTACCAAACACCTGCGTGAATAGACCTGAGTGTGCTCCTTGTATCCCAATGGGATAACATAAGCAGTATCAGCATTCTGTAGGGAATCAGTAAATAGGTAAACACTACCTTCACAATGCTTACAGTTTAACCTGGGCTGAAGGATGAACACAGTTCATTAATGCCACACATTACATATATATGTCAGAAAGATAAAAATTAAATAAAAAGCTATATGAAGTGAAATAAAATATGCTACAGAATTCTTTACTTTAAAGCTGAAGTTTAATCCACATCTATTTGCCCCCCTCATCAAAATGGTAATTACATTTTGAGTAAAAAACCTTTCCATTCTCATTACACACAGTATTTCAGACCTAGTAATGTCATCACTGGGTCTCTGCACGCTCTTTACAATAGAGGCAGATCATCGCAGGTGGGAGGGGCCAGCAGAGAGCTGTACAGAGCTTCCAGAAAATATCACAGCACCATGTCTCAGAGCACTCAGTCCTTATGCTTGTAGTGAGATGGCTTATGGGAGGGGTTATGCAAATATAAAAAATGTCTTGATGGAATGAGGTCAGTCTAGCAGAGTAGACATTCCTAGGCAGGGTGCATTTGAATTAAGACTGCCCTAAGTAACACCCACATGCTGAGCCTCCATGATTGCAAAAACTGGAATCCAATAAAAGGGGTAGGCCAGGGACATTCAGGGTGAGGTATAAAAGAGCTAGATTGACATCCTCCAGGCAGAAAAAAGGCAGGGCTTATCTGACTTGCTGCAGTTTCTAATGCACACTGTGGGAAACTCACAGTGAAATCAGTGTAAGCAATTTCAGTACACGAGAGGCACTTGTACAACTGCACTAAAGACAAAATTAATTATGTAGACTTCTATCCAAAATAAAATATCACTTTGTTTTATGAGATACTGTACACAATACTATTAAGTTACAATAGAAATCATTTATTTTACGTATTCCATGCCCCCCCCTCCCCCCCCAAAAAAGAAAATACAAAAATGATCATTTCATATCAGCATATAGACCTGTGTGGTCAGATATCTGCCACACACAGGTACATCTGTCTTTCAAAATATCAGACCAGTGACAGGCTCAACAGGTGGCAGTAATTCAATCCGATGTAGTGAGTAATAACAACAGGTGCCAGGGATCCTCGCCGGGCAAGCCAAGCAAGAGCAGGATATTCCCTAAGGATAATGAATACTGACAAGTACAGATATCTAGAAAAGGTCAGTCTTTGCGGACCTGATGTCAGGCCTTCATTCAGAAGTAGGCAATGCTGCCTACTCTTGGTTTAGTCACTGCTGTGTTTTGGCTGCTGCCTTCTTTTGTCTCAGGCGTTTCTTCTGCAGCTTCCTGCGCATCACAGCATCTATTTTCTTCTGCATTGACTCCTGAATGTGCTCCTTGAATTTCTTTTTTTGCTTTTTTATCTTTTCGAGCTCTGCTTTTCTTTTTGCTTCCAGATCAGGATCCTTAGGAGTACAAGGGAAATGTTAAGGAGGTTACAGAAAGATTACCATAAATGAACATTCTACCTATTACCCTACTTCCCACAGAGAAGTGCTTTTATTATTCCTTAGCATGCACAGAAGCCAAAGTGAAAAAACCATGGTCGCTTCCAGGTTCAGTCAGCAGGAAGGAGATCGGTGAACGCATGTTCGCTGGTCTCTCTCCGCTGACACCCTGAAGGGCCAGTGAAACACAGCGGGAGGCATCATGAAAATACGCACGTCAGAGCCTTTGGAAGTGACTGAATAAATTTACTGCCACCCAAATCACTGCCAGTGTAAAACCGACAGAGCGTAAAAACTCCTGACTAGTCTGCTTACAATGGCCCGCTGCTGACCTATGACATATGGCAGTGATAGCAAAAGGGTTAAACTGTGAGTACCATACTCTCATACTGACGGAAATAAGCACATGGAATAGAATAGATGATACACTCTAAATAAAAAAACTTGAGAAATTATACTGGCATAAATTATAGTTTAATTTATGCCAGTATAGTAAAGGTATAAAGTGTTTTATTTAGAGTATCATCTATTCCACTATCTATTCTATTCCAAAATACTATTTAAAATATTTAGAGAACATGGGAACAAGGTGGCCTACACAAAGGCAAAGGTCACTATGAATGCACCAGTGGGTACAAAATGTCTATACCTCCAGCCTCCGGGTACACCAACTATAGAGACTCAGTGTGTTCAGGAAACTTGTATTAGAAGTCATAACTACTGACAAAAGGTATATGCTTAGACCGATATTGTGCTGATCAGGCAAAGGCTTTGAAACTAAATTGGAACATGTGACACAATAAAATAAGTAGTCCTGGTGGTACAGCGAGTGCCTACCAAGCAGCAGGGTATGTCTTGTAAATTAATTATTCTTTCAGTTGTCCTGAGAGGAGTTCCTTAACCTCTTGCCGTCCGCCCGTAGTAAAAAAACGGACGGACGGCACTGCAGCATCTGCGGGTTGCCGTCTCCAGACGGCAATTTTTTTCTGCTCGCGCGCGCCCCCTAGCGGGCACGCACGGGCAGAAAAGACCCGCTAAATGCACACACCCGTTACCGGGTGTTTCACATATAGGCGATCGGCGGGTCCATAGCCCGCCGATCGCCTATATGTGCTCGTTCGCGGCACCCCCCCCCCCAGGGTTGTTATCCCCCTATATAATAGCAATACCAATAAGTGCAAAAAAAATAAATATAAATAAAAAAAAATAAAAGTAACACATAAAAAAGTAAAATAAAATAAAAGTCACATATAAAAAAAGGGGAAAAAACCCCCCCAAAATGTTTAACTCCCCCACCCCCACGTTTACGCGCCTATAAACGTAAATACGCGTCCGGTGCCCCAGCGCGCAAAAATTACAATTGCGCTACACATGTTACATATCGCCGCGAACGTCGCAGTGAGAGCAATCATTTTAGGGCCATCAATCACTGATAACACTAAACTGATGAGCGGTAACAGCTTTTAAAGCGTCGCCTAGGGCCAATTTTGGGTATTATCGTTTTTTGAGGTTTCGCGCGCGCACGCAATTTTAAGGCTTGACATGTTTAGTGTCTTTTTACCCGACGTGACCCCATCTTTTATATTTTACCAAAAAATTGGGTAATAATAAATGTTTTATCATTTAATATAGGGGAAACTGTTTTTTTTTTTAAATTTCGGTAATTTTTCCTTAATATAGTAAAAAAATAAAACCCCCAGTGGTGAATAAATACCACCAAAAGAAAGCTCTATCTGTCCCCAAAAAAGGGTATAAAATTCATTTCAGTACAGCGCTGCATGACGGAATAAATGTCAGTCAAAGTACCGCAGCGCTGAATACTGAAAAATGGCCTGGATGGGAAGGGGGTTTAACACCGCGGATGTCAACTGGTTAAAGTGGGAAAAAAATGATTCAACGAACTAGGACAACCCTATTTACTATAATGCATATTACCTTCCCTTCCAGAATTAGCTGCTTCCGTTTGTTGATCTCTTTCTTCTCATCAAAATCTGTACACTCCAGTTTCTACAATCAAAAGACAATACATTTTATTGTATAGAGGCATAGAAATGCATCAACTTCCTGCATTTATAAAACCATCACCCTTACAATTAAATACAAATATACTCACAATTTCACATTCTCTTCGAGTCACATTCACCTGAGTAAGGATTTGCAATACCTCGCGTTCCTTTACACCAAACTCTTTTAACTTTAAATCTATCCAAAGACATGGAAAAAGCAATAAACACATTAAATGTGGGTACAAGAGATGCATCAACCCAGATCTCCATCAAGATCCCAGTAACAAGTTAAAGTGACATTAAAGTATATATTTTTTTTCCCTCCCCCCAATGTGGGACAGGAAGTGCCAGCGAGCACAGAGGAGTCAGCGCTTGATCGGAGACCCGCAGCAGCTCTGGAGGGACAGCTGAAAACGACAGGAAAGAAGTTGAAAATCAAATTAAGAAACATCATTTAAAAAAGGTAAGTGCTGACATTATCAGCACTTACCTTAAATGATGTTTCTCCTGTCCCACTGTGTCTGCATGCGGGTGCACGCTGCCATAGACTTACCTTGTGTCTCTCCTTGTCTCCCGGCTGAAAATCTGAACTGCACAGGCGCCCGCCCCAAGATCCTTTGCGGCCGCACAAGACTTTTCAGATTTTCGGACAAGAGCGCGTGGCAAAGACACATGTAAGTTTTAACCTTTTTAAAAAGTTTTTTTTTACGTTTTTGCATATATCTACTGCTTACTAGCAGTAGATATATGCAAAAAACCCAGAGGCTTTAATGACCCTTTAACACTTAACAATCCTGACTGTCTATACTGATTGCCGCCACCTGGTGCCCTGCTAAACCTCTGCATACGGGGCACAAAGTGCATTCTCCACTGCCTTCCCACAATGCAATTCTAGGTGACGGAGTGGTTAAATCGACAGGCACCAGCACCTGAGGAACGTGCAGAAAGAAAATCAGTTTTTGCAAAGATCTTTTTTAGGAGTATCGACAGCAATTTGTGCAGTAGACAGAGTCCGGGTGGAAGTACAAACACCAGAAAGTGACTATTTTATAGCAGGAGAGAGTGGGGGCAATTAGGCGATTTTAGCACTTGCTCACCTCACCCTATTTGTTGCTAGTACCCAATATTTTGCTGTGGCTTGCTATAAAAATTGGCCACATTGGCACCATATACTGAAACAGACTTTCATATTGTTTCTATTGTAAACTCATGACTGAGTTCTCCCAAACCTTATATTCCCTGAGGACTCTAGCTTTAAGATCTCCATAAATCAAGCTATGAAAAAATATGTGAGGTCTGCTGACACAATTTCTGTTAGAAACAGACGATTTACTTGCACAACTTATGCAAAATATGTAAAAGCCACACTGCCTCATCAAGACTACTCTATGTAGTGTTGTCCTAATGCTAATCCATTAGAACCTCCATCTTGGAGCATATGTAGCAAATATAAATTGAGTGCAGGTATGCCTGGAGGTAGTCCATTCCTCCTTTATGGGCACAGGGACAGACCAGATGCCCAGTGTACTGGGACATTGTGTGTGCATGCTAAGATTGGACAGCAACAATCTACAGATCACCAGGAAGCCCCCATCCAATCACATAGGGGGATAAAAGCCCTGCAACAAACATGCAGCAACCAAAGTCAGCATGTAGTGTTCAGAAATGTTTGAAACACCTCTCCAGTTGCTTTAGCGGATGCACCGAATCAGGAGCATTACTAGATATTTTCTGGGACTGCCCAAGGATTAGACACTAGGTTGTATTGGATTGAGATGTTCGATTTCTCATTACGCGAGATAAAAGAGGTTGGCGGAACTTAAAAGGAAACTACAACCACGAGTATATTTACTAATGTACTCCTGTGACCCAAAGTCAGCATATAGGCCACTATAAGCTAACAGCGCAGAGCCACAAAGCAGCATAGAAAGATTCCAACAATATTGTTGGGATCCACCCCACTGCCTGATTGACAACTGGCTCTGCCTCTTCAGAGCCAGCTGTGCCTGCCGCCCCCTCCCCTGTCTGTCCTTCCAATGAGCTCTGGAGGAACAGAGAGGGGAGGGGGGAATCGCCGTGTGGAGCGGAGATTGGCCATCACTGCTCTCTCTAGGGATAAGACTGTGAGCCAAATGATCAGTGATTTGTGATTACATTGGGAGAGTACGTTTTACTCTCCAAATTCGTCTCCTTTAAATATCTTGCTCTTTAAGCCTATGGGAAATGTATTACTTTTCAATTTTTTTTTTCTCTGGCTATGGTCCACTTAGGATGTATATTCTTAGAATGTACAGCGCTAGCCCTCCTTCAGACAAAGATGTAAGAAATCAAACGTTTAGGATCAGGGTTTGAGGTAGGCAATTGAAGCTAAAAAATCAAACATTCAGTGCAGGGGTGTATCGCAAAAGCTCAATATTTTAGATTAAATCTATGTGAATGGTTGTGTATAACAAGTGATCAAATGATGTATGAAATTTATCTAATAAATGTTAATAAAACTGTGATAAACTGTGAATAATTGTATCAAATGTGAGTAAATAATATTAATAATAATAAATGGTGAATAAACAATGTGTAACCATTTAAATAAACTGAAATAAACTTCCATCAATGTATACGTGAATAGTCCAAATCTTTTGTAGTTTTTTAAGTCTTTAAAGTCCATAAATGTAAGACACTTACGAAAATTCAGTGCAATAATGTGTCCAACGAAAATCCAAACTTCCACAGTGAAAAATCAGCACAATAATGTGTCCAACACAAATCCAAAAAAAGGGAAGAAAAAAACAAAGAAAAAAGCGGAGAAAATCCCCTCAAGGGAATGCACTCACCAGATCAGAAGATGTTAAACACGTTTGATTCGTCAAGATAAGCCTGGAGCTCCGTCCTAGATTTCCACGCTGGGTCAGGTTTCAGGGAAGGAAAGGTCTCCCGTTTACCCGTGGTGTTTAAACGGAGTATCCTCGTATTTTAGGGGTCCCTCCGGTGGGATATCCAATCACATAATAGTAGAAATAAAACATACGCTCATAGCGTAATAAAACCCAGGTTTATTAAGAACATGCAGCATACAAGTTAAAAAGAGCGCTCAAAAAATATTGTTTAAAAAAGCGGGCTGGTCACTTTAGGTTATACATCCTATTAGGGGCTGAGTGCCTTTAGTCCAGCAGCTTCCCATACCCTTTTAGAACAACTATCTTTCACTATTTATCAATTCTATTTTTTACTAATATTTTAACACACATTTTATCATTTTTAATATCATATAATATCTTATTATCCCCAATTTCCAATAGCGCAAGTTCTTGCAATTAATATGGTCCAATTAGACCTACACAAATAGAAAAATGTTAAATGTATGTTTTTTGGTTGCATTAAAAGCGACTGTTTATAGAGGTGGGGTATGTATTAACGTCTGGGGTTATAAGTGCTTAAAGTGGACCTTTACCCATATCTTTAAATAACAACAAAGACACCTTTAGAGATGTTTAGTAATGACAATCAATAATCACATCCTTCTAGATAATTGCAGGCTTTGTATTTTTTACATATCTTATTTCTCTTTTCTTCCCCAGTCTTCTGACAGTGGCCATGTTTACCATCTCTCAGATTACTTCGTTGATTTTTGGCACATTTGACTAGACATGTGACCATGCACATCATCTCAGGGGAAGAAAATGCCTTTCCCAAAAATCTCCTAAGATTACAGATGAGATTTCCCAGCAATGCTCTGATGACAAGGCAATCCCAGTGTGCATTGCTTTGCCAAACTGAAGTCATTTTGCCCTTTCAGAGCAGGAAGTGAATGCTCTGCAAGTGTAAGTATTTCAACATCACAGCATTTTACAGCTGACATGTCTGTTATTATAAATCATCATACATAGAGGGATGCATCGGTAGAATTTGATTTTTGGAGTGTAAAATTCCGCTTTAACAAGATTACTGTAGCTTATTTTTTTTCTCAAATTAAATTAACAAAAATATATACAATAAGAAATATGTCTAAAACACCTAATCAGCAAGGCAGTCAGACAACTAGCATTTTCAGAAAAAGAGGTCATCTCCCATACAGACTTCCTTTAACATTGGTTTGGAAATGCTGTTGCTCATTATCCGTGAACAGCCTAAACTGGGAAATTCTTTTAACTGATAATCACAATCCAAACCCGCTAGAATCTAGGGTTCCTAGCAAAAGATGTGAAGCAGCTCAAGGTGGAGAGACAGGGAATTCTCACAGCTTCGCATTAGTATTTATACATCTTGCTAAGATGAAACAAAGGATGAAGGTGCTGCTCTAATCATTTTCTTTTGCTACAAAACTGAAGCTAATAGCATGATAGATGTGTTCTGAAACAACCAGCAACTTACTGATCTGTTCTTCTACTGCATGCACCAGATGAATGTCATACTGTGTCACCAGCGTAATTGACATGCCATTGCGTCCTATGAGGAAAATTCAGTAAGTGCTCATTAGAAAGCAATATTTACATTATCAGGGTCTTTACTAATTCAAAAAAATAATTTCAGAATTATTTTCAGATACACGTTCTCAATGCGATATTCACCAGAAAGCACTTCTGTGGCATACCTAAGGAAGCACAAAAGTAAAATCTTTACAATATTAGCTTTGACTTAAAATGTAAGTAAACCCAGTAAACAAAAACAATTTTTTTTTAAATATATTGCAGTTTACCAAAAGGTTGATGTACTGACTGCAATAGATTTGTTTTTTTCAAGCTTTCTTTCCCTTTGTTTTTACCTGGTGATCCACCCAGTAATACACTTACTATCCCATGGGAACAATGCTCACTGTCTGTACAGTATCTATGGAGGGTTAGCGCTCCTTCTTTGGACTAAAGAGCACAGGGGGATGTGTTCTGTAGTCTAGAAGAACACTGGAAAGACGGGATATGTTTGAAGTTTCAGTTCAGTACACAGGAAATTACAAGCTTGATGTATTTACAGGATCAACAGGTAATGTTCTGTACTTGCAGAAAATGCACAACATTTAGGCACTGGTAAGATGAAATATATCACATTTTCGTCCTTGGGTTTATAAGTTCAGCTTAATTGCAGTTTCTCCCAAAAAAACTGAAATTAATTCAGGTTGGATCTATATGCCTTCCTGTTCATGTATTTTTATTCTTCCCCCAACCACTGCAAAATACTCCCATGAGCGGCAGGAGCATGCAGCTGAAGAATGCTGGGCACTGTGTGATAGCAATGGTCCCTGTATGCCATCTTCTTACACGAGATCCACCAAAGCTCACATACCCTTCTGATTGTAGTGGTCCCCGATCTAGTGAGCAAGGCCACACACTGGTTCGTTAAAATCTTCCTGGCCAGGAAGCCTGTTTTATGCGCTCTCATTCATCGCCATGAGTTAGACTGGAGAACAAGCTAATAATTGGATGCTTCTTAGGAATGATTTTGACAAGGGGCTCTGCAATCTGTTCAATAACATCTTGTCGCATTCGAGACATGCGAGTATAAAACGGGGTGGTGGGGGCTGGAAGCCTTCCATAAAAGTAACTGCGCCAAAATTTAAAAAAATATGCCTGAAAATAAATAAACCCCTATATATAAAAAGGCAGAATCTCATTTTAAACAAAAGATAAACAGAGTTTACGAAAATCTACCCTATACAAAATTTTGATAACACCTGTGGAGACTGCACCCAGTAGGACGAGACTGAATGTCTTACCTGCTCTTGCTGTTCTTCCTACACGGTGGATGTAAATCTTGGGAAGGCCTGGGGTGTTATGGTTGATCACAACCTGCACTGTTGGGATGTCCAAGCCCCTGAAAATGGAACCGATTATTGATGTATGCTTCTGATTAAACTAGTAGCAGCTCTAAAAAGACAATTATACTAACAGGATATAGGTACAAGAGTATCTAAATCTTAAAAGCCTGACATACTGCAACTGCAGAATACCAATTTTTATATTTGGAGTTTATATTTAGGACCACCAGCTGAACAGTTAAAATCACACATTAAAAACCAACAGTTTTAGCTGCGAATAAATTAGTAATTTTGTTTTACACATCCATGCTCTAGTAGCTAAAGGGTGACCTCAGTCGTCAGTGCCTGCAGCAATTAAGCTCCATGCGTCACCTCCGTGCTTGCAGTCTGCTCACTGCACTAGAAACTGGTATGCTCCTGTCTGTACTTCCTCCAGCAACAAGTACATTAAATATATTATGCTGTCAACACTGCCAAAATGTACTATTGTATATGGTCACCTGCTACAACTTCATGAAGCCACTTAGACTATCAGGCTGATCTCATGTGTGCAGGTTGATGTAAAGGTAGGCTTTAGACAAGCATCATATAAAATAAAAACAATACTTCTTGAATCAAATAATTGTTCTTTTTTATATTTGGATTTTGCTTTAAAGATCTGAATAATCTTTGCAAGCTTTAGATACAGAAAAAAATGACAGGACTGACATAACTCAATTGTGGGAAATCATGGTAACTAAGTGGCTGTTCTGCAGTGCCAGTTTTTTTTAATTTAGGTCTCCAGACAATACGATCGGAATAAATTCTGTTCTCCCTGTGTTTGCTTGGATTTACCTCCGACAAGAAAAAAAATAAAACATTACATTTAGTTATCCCTAAAGTGTGTCTATATGACGGTTATAGGAGGCTCTTTTAGGGCTGGGACTGATGAGGCTGACTATGTTACTTCTAAAGCTCTGCATATATCAGTGCAATATAAATATGTAAATTAAATCATTATATTATGGCTGGAGTTAACGAATAGGTAGAAATGGTTAAGCCACAAAACACTTAAGGAGCTTTCATCAGAAAATTGTATTTACCTGGCAGCCACATCTGTTGCAATAAGAATCTTAAAAACACTTGATTTGAATTTTGCGAGTGCAGCAAATCTCTGCTTCTACAAACAAGAAAAAAAACCACAGTATTACTACCAGACAATATTGGTATTAATATATTCAGATGAATATAGCATGGACCTTTTCAACGTCTGACAGATTTGATAACAGTCATTTGTGTTTTGATTAACAGGAGTAGAACAGAATGATAATAAAAATTAAACTATAAATGAAGAAATTTTTATTCCTAGAAAACTAAAGTGTGTAATAAGTTATTTTCTTTCCCTGTGACCAGAAATTAGGGGGGTTTATTTATAAAGTTCTGCTTGGCTGATGCCGTTCGCACAGCACTATTCCCCTTATGAGTATAAGAAAATTCCTATAATCATCAGCGCCATCTAGGGGCGCTACTGCCGTGTGAAATAATAAAAATGAACCCATATGTATTCCAAAAAACTGCTTGCTTACAAGTAGTTAAGTGCAAGGACGTGTATGCCACCGTGTGTCTATCTTTCTCTTGCAGTTTGTAGTTTTAATGAGCGCTGATAGTACAGCTATTGCTATACTACTGCTGCTCCAACAGCAGACCTTTGGGTGTCCTGCAAAGCAGCTGCCACGACATTTGCTTGACCCTCCTCTCCTCTAATCACAAAAGATTCTGTGAAACCTTTTACAAAATGCAAAGCGTTCTGTAAATGGACAAAGGAGAAGACGGGCGGGCAGTGCGGCTGCTGCGTAGGAGAACCAGATTGTGAAAGCTATACTATCAACGCACAGTGACTGTCATTGTGAAGAGAAAGAGAAACAGGAGGTGGCACACAGTGCATTGCACGCAACTCCTTGTAAGACAGCAGTTTTAATTACTTAGTTTTTTTCATGGCGTACATCTTGCACACTACTCCATGTATGTGCATACTTTAAAACTTCAATTGTACTTTAAAGGATAAAAAAAAAAAAAAAAAGGGAGGATATGTTTGAGCTAACCTTTAACATGCTATTCTATGGAGGCAAGACAGCAGACCACTTGGTTAATAGGTTATTTGTTGCAACGAAACTTTGATGATCTACCAGGAAATAATTTACCTGCTTCATCATAGAATGTAGAGCTACACAAGGGAAATTAAACTCCCGAAGCATCATATTCAGGATTTGACAATTTCTGCAACATTAAAAAGAAGACAGTCTTTACCATAAGAACAGATTAAACCGAAATGTAGCGTAATAAGCACATCAAACATTATTGCAGAACTATAGGCAAAATACAATACACAGTAAACCACGGAAAATCCACCTTATTGATATCTGGTATTTGATTCCAGATACAATTAAAAAAAGAAGAAATGAGGTTCCATAAAGCACTGCATACAAAAAGTAGACTGGCCACTGCCTTGAAATACAATATTTCATTGAATTCTCCAGGACAAAAAGCTATAACCAGACATTAGGGAAATTGTGGATATTCTATTTGTGATAAAATAAAAAAATGTGTTGGCTCAATGGCCTCAGTCTTAAAATCACTTTAACACAAACCTTCAGTGAAACATCTAGAACATGAGAAAGTGTGCTTACAGCGCAAAAAAAAAAAAGGGTGTGCTATGTTTTTTATCGTTCTATGAAAGACCACATTCCTCAATGCCTTTGTGCAAATGCCTTAGTCATTTTTGGAGAACTATTTAAAAGTGACACTAAACTCAGGAGTTAAAGCGGATCTTTACCCCCTTTGACAAAAAAATACATCAGCATACAGCTCTGCATGCTGATATGCAATCACCTTACATTCATTAGCTAAACATAATTTTTCTTTTAATTATAGTTTCTTTTTTTCCCTGCTTCCTGATCCACTTTGGCACAAATGATGCAATCATTCCAAAGCATTGCATCCTGGGATGGTTACATCAGCAGAGCATTTCTGGGAAATCTCATCTGTAATCTCATGAAATGTTAGATTGTAAGCCCACCCGGGCAGGGCCCTCCTTACCATCTTGTCTTGAATTGTATTGTAACGTCTTCCTTATATTGTAAAGCGCTGCGCAAACTGTTGGCTCTATATAAATCCTGTATAATAATAATAATAATAATCTCAGGGATAAGCATTTTCCTCCCCTGAGATCATGTGCATTGTGACATGTCCTAATGACATGTGCCAGAGTTCCAGAAAGTAAAGGGAGATCTAGTAACTTGCCCTTAATTAAAATGGCCACTGTCAGAAAAATGGGGAAGAAAAGAAAAATAACGCATGCAAAAAAATAAAAAGCTGGAAATTGTCTAGAAGTATCGGTTTGTAGATTGTCATTACTAAACACTTCTTAAAGGTGCCTTTGTTGTTATTTTAAAGAATTGGGTAAAGTTCCTCTTTAAATCTTAAAAATACATACAAGTACCCTAACAATTAACAAAAATGTATCTTATTTGTGTATCACTCAGCTGTAGACCCTCAAATCATCTCCGAATTGGTGCCGACTCTGTCCTTCCTTCTGGAGGGTGACTACTTCTGTTCCCCATGGTCCTTGTGTGTGATATAAAGTAGCCACTGCTCCAAGCTCACTCCTGTGATGGACTATAAATTTCAATACAAATTAGCTTACTAAACGGGATATTATAGTTGGACCATGAGGAACAAAAGTAGCCACCCTCCAGAAGGAGTGCAAGAGTGCTGAGGTTGCCTTCTCCTGCAGTATACATTTTCTTTTATAAAAAAAAAAAAAGAGAAAACCAAAAAACACAACACGCACAGTTAATTATAAATGAAGCAGGCAAACAAAAAGGATCCATGGATCTACAAATATTTTTAACTGGTACTCTTGTGACCTCAAAACACCAGATCCTTGGGCTTTCATTTGCTCCAAGTCACCAACACAGCCGTCATGTCTACAAATTCATGCTGACAAGAGCACACTTTCTGGTTCCAGTCCCATTATCAGTTCTGACAGCTTCATTCACACAGAACTCACTTGCAGGTATTGGTGAAGATCATGATGGACCAGTCCTCATGTTCATCCTGGAATTTCTGGATCAGATGTACCAGATACGCATCCTTCACCTTCTCAGGCACCAGAATGTATCTTTGGTCTAGCTGTTCCACTGTCTTCACCCTAAAGCGAGGCATTTGTAGAGCTCATTACACATTTTGTTTCATAAAACCATCAAATATTTTCACATTAGATCCACAGTAAACTTCAGAATGGTTAACTTTCATGAGCTAAACAGATCTAATATTGAATTCCCGCAACAATGTTTTAACCTTAGTTATTTAATTTATTATGTTTTCTTCTGAACACTTGACTCTTTAAGCTCTGTATTCAAATAATAAATACTATTTGGGGCTAACCCTGCAAAGGTGTACTGCACCTTTACTTCCATGTGCTATACTGGAGCAACATTACTATGCTTTAGCCAACACAAAAACATACATCATTCAAAACATAATCATTGAAGGTACTTCATTACCGTCACAGATCTTTGCCATGAAAGTTCTGGCCTTGTTGGCCATTGTATTTGAAGGTTTTCCAGTTTCAAAAACATGGATTTTCTTAACTAATTGCTGTTGGTGGAGGCTATCAATAATGCCTTCCCTACCAAAAAAAAAAAAAAAAAAAACACCCTATTAAAGTGAAACTTTACTTGTATGGAATTATTCAAGACCCGTCTAGATACTTTTCTCAACATATACAGGAGTACAGGTAATCTTAGTAACTTAAACACAAACCCACCTCGATGGACCTGTGTCTTTATTCAACCTTAACTATGTACACTGAGCTGCACAAGCACAGGACAGTGTATAAGCTCAGCATGCCTTGCTTCTGGAATGATTTCACTCCCGTGCACATGCAAGGAGTTATATGATTCTGGGCTGGCAAATCAAATGACTGAAGACACTGAACCAGGAAAAACAAGAGACAGACAAAGAAGTTGGCACCAGCAAGGGAGTTCACATAGCATAGCATGGACATAGCATTGCTGGAGCAGAAGCACTTCTCTGTTTAGTTCCACTTTAAATTATGGCTGGACTGCTAAGATGTCCAGGACAGGACAGTTAACACAGCTTCTTTTAAAAGACTATGCAGAATGATATCAATTTCTCTTGAGCTCTTAAAAGTCCTGGTATCGGGCAATTCAATAAGGCGTAATGAGCCTCCTTCGGGACATGGACTGCAACCACTCCATATACGAGAGCAAAGAGTCTGTTCCAGAAAGAGCGCACTTTAGTGCATTGCCACCAGATGTGATACATATTACCAGGAAGTGTACATCCTCGAAAGCAACTAGGGGATATCCCTGGAAATATCCTTGCCATCCTGGAGGGAACCAGGTACCATCTAGATAAAACCTTATAATTAGCTTCAATTAGGGAGATATTAAGCATCCCAGAAAATCCTCGGAGGCAGCATTGCTGCCAAATCTCTCTCCCACGCTAACATATAAGGTAATTTAGTCTTTATATCTACCAAGAGAGAATATATCATTGAGATGCCACCCCTCTATCCTCCATCCCCCATCCACCACTTCTCGTATGCCGTAATAAATGGTTTATCCAAGGGGGGTAACCTTAAAGAGCCAAAAAAATTAGGACAATTGTCTAAAACGAAACTGTTCAGATAACGGCATGTGGAGAGTATCCTGACAGTACTTGAGAGTTAGGGGTTTCTGAGCCCAAAAGAACTGTGCTATACGATAAAGGCCCTTATCCTGCCACCAAAAAAAATGCCTTGGACTGTCCGCCCGGAGGGAAATTCGGGTTATTAAATACCGGTGCTAGAGGGGTACGAGATGACGCCATGCACTCATTCTGTCTGACCATGTCCCACATAGCCAAATAATGGGATAAAGTTGGAGCCAATATAACCGGTCTATGTCTCGGGTTGAGCCATTTAAGTATCTCAATAAAGATATTCGATGCAGAGAGTGCCTCCATTGAAACCCAATCGTGGGAATAGCCCCGATTGTATATTGAGGACAATTGTGCTACCCGCGCTGCCCTATAATATTGATAGAAATTAGGCGCGCCCAATCCACCAAATCTTTTGGATCGATAAAGAACCGCTTGAGCCATTCTCGGTCGCCTGCCATCCCAGATATATTTTATCACTGTAGATTGAAACCTCATCATTCTTCTTCTTGGCAGCTAAAACTACCATAGCAAAATCCTGGAGGTTACCAACTATACCCTTTCAACAGGTTAAAGCGAAACTGTCATGGATAATGGTGCATGAGAAGATGCAGAGCATCCTTAGGGATAACGAAAAGAGATTTGAATTAATCTGGTCACCATGGATTCACTATATGGGACCGTTTGATTCGGTATTAGACAATACGGTGTGGAATGGGGCTAATCTTTTAGGGTTGGCCCCTCCCCCTCTTTTTATTTTTAATGCGTTTTGTCTGGTCTTGTGTAGTGTCCTTTTTGGTACCATCGAACAATGTTTTAAATATAAGTGAAGATTTATAATTGGGCCCATCGTATAATGTAGGGCGCACAATTTAGTGTGGTACTGTTAGGAGTGTGTCGGGTTAGATAGATTTTCTTTGGATATTGACTGAATGATCGAGATTTGTGTAACAATTATACTTTTAGGGACACATGAATAATTTTGGACACTAGCTAATAGGCAAGGTTTTTTCACTGATTCATTTTTTTTATAATAGGGGGGGGGGGTTCCTTTTTTTTCTATATATAGATCACCATATGAGACACCTCAGTTATAGTCACAAGGAATGTATCACTATGGTTTTAAATACAATGAGAGAATTTAGGATAGGGCCCATCTAGCAACTAGGGGAACACTATTTTATTAAGGTCTATAGTGGGGTTATTAGTTTAAGTGTAGATCACTAGCACAATCGGAATTGGTTAAATATGTTCCGTTAGACTTACCGGTAACGGTATTTCTA